ATGGCCGTCCGGTGGTGCCTTTTTCCTTTGGGATTGCGTGTCCAACGTGCACACCACACAAATACATGCCGTTCGGTGGTGCCTTTTTCCCTTGGGGTTGCGCGTCCAACGCGCACACCACACAACCACATAATAGTAAGTAGTGATCTTCCGGGTTGTTTTATGTAAACACCACATGGTCACATGCCGAATTAGTTCCCGTGCCTCTCGCGTACTGACGTACCTCGTGGTGCACGCCCAACTAACACCAACCCATATGCACACCAACTCCGCCGTAGCTAACAATCCCGTCTGTGAGTAGGTAGACTTACACTTGGATAAGCCCGGCGAGACGTTGTGTTAGTTGGTCCGTGCGCTGTCATGTTTTCTCGACGGTACGCCTGGATACACAGCATCGAATCGACGTTTGCTTCGTAACGTAATTTCACACGCGGCCATACAAATTGGGCCCCGAAAAGGAAATATATAGAGAATGCTGTGTGCCTTTCTATGTTGACGGGAACCCGTGCTGTCAGTTCTCAGCGCCCAGGTTTCCCCTTCAAAAAAAAAAAAAAAAAAACGGGAGGGGGGAGGGGGGGGGGGATCTCGACAGTTCCTGTCATTCAAGAAGTGCGAGTTTTGGGCCAGTCACGGCCTTCAATGCTTCGATATCATCTGCGATTCAGACACGATGACGTTCCGGATTCCCTAGAAAAAGCTGGACAAGCCACGTGCCATACTACGAACTGCTCTCGCCGATGGATGCTTGTCGAACCCCGCAACGCGTTGGGGGCAAGTGAATGACCATGACTGTGGTGATCCGACTGGCGTTACTTTGGACGCATGCGACGTTGCCGTCCTTCCCAGATGGTCAAAACCATCCAAAGTCGGGTCGATCTGGCATGTAACGCTAACGCATCTGCGGGAAGAGTTCCAAAAAGCGTCTTTCTCTGACGGTTTCCTCGCACGAAAGGCCCTGACAGCGAGCAAGCCACCCTCATCGTCAAACTTGACGCATCATCGGACGCGTCTTCCCTAGGCTGGGGTGGCGTTTTGTCAACATCGGGGGAGCCCAGTACCGCACTGGTGGTGTGATCCCAACTGATTGGCTGCACAAGCACATCAACAAGGAGATGTTTGCGTTGTACCAGTTGTCGCGACTCTTTCCGTGTGCGCTTTCCGACTGACTTGCAGCGGGCTCAAGGGTTCATCGACGTCGCGTTTGTTGGAGCTACAGATCGAGTACCCAGTGGCTGCTAATGTCGTCGCTGATGGTATCTCGTTGCCCTGGCGCGAAAGCATCGTTCGTCTAAACCCCGAGGGTTTTCCGTGCTCTCTGGGAGAATGTGCGGCTGGTCGCCGTCGTTCTCATGGCTTCGGCGACCGAACAACGTTGTTGCTGAACGCAGGCCTCGGACCAAGACGCGTTCGAATGCCTCTGATTCTTGGGCACATAACGTAGAGGCACCAAGTGGGTGCACGACAGAGCCATGCTTTGGCGTATAGACCAGGTATGATACAATTTCGCGCATGCCTTCTAGTTTCGCAATGCGCTAACAGTACACAGCCGCGTCGATGCAGAAAGGGATCGTGTCCAAGTTGAAGATGGCGATCCAAAAGCAGTTGGGGCAAGACGGCAGCTGGGACCCTGTTACGCGGTCGGGCGACCCGTGTCGTAGTCCTCTCGTAGAACCCTACGTCATGTTTTAGGAACGGGGGATGTGTGGCACAGTTGCTGGATGGACCTGCAATCGCTGTTATCATGAAAAATTGCCGGGCGGCGTACCGATAGCGTCGCACTTGGCGCCTACTAGTGTAGGAACGGCGGGTTCCAAGACGAGGCGTAGCGACTACTACCCTGACTAAAACACGTTGCCGATTGTCGGCCGGCCACGCATACATTCGATTTTCTACGTGTGCGTGCCGCGGAAATAAGAAAGTTTGGGTGGGGAGAGACCTACCTTAGAGGCTTGTGTGGTCAAAGATATATATGGCAGATCAGACAATCAACAGGAAAGTAATGGGCGGGACCACAGGCCGGTGCAGGAGGCCTCACCCAACCCAATCCAATACTTACATTGAATGATCTAGGTAAGGGACAAGAATACTGTTTCTATTCATGAACTTGCTGATCATTCAAACGCTTCGGGTCTGGGCATATTGCGATCTGTATGCCCAGCCCGAAGAGTTACTTCACGGCGAGGCCCTCCTGTCGGTGCAGGAGGCCTCACCCAACCCAATCCAATACTTACATTGAATGATCTAGGTAAGGGACAAGAATACAACAGAAAACTCTGTGTGTGTGCACACACGTGCACGTAGTAGATAGACGATCAACCTTGCTGCTGTGTGACTGCAATCGAACACAGAGGGAATGCGTGACATGATGCAACAACAGTAGATACAGCTGATGATACTTATGCACATGATGCATATCCCCGACACGACCCCTCAATCAAGTAAGACAGCAAGAAGAAACAATTAGGCCTAGATAGTCTACATACCGCAGTCTCCCAAGACATGAAAGATTCAGTGCAAGAGATTTGGGGGTACTACAGACCGACGCATTCGTGTGTCTGGCACATCTATGTAGGCAAACCTAGTATGGTAAATGAAATAAAAGTTTATCTCCTTCAGACACGTTATTCAAGCTGCCGTACTACATACGTATGAATCTATTTCCATCGTTCGGACGAGATTCTTAATGATGTAATCTTCTTCCTAATATTCGGACAAACGCAAACATCGGATCATTTCTGATCCCAAATCAACACAATATGTCCTGGGAACAATCTCCGACGCGGCTAATGTTATCCGGCCGATTTCTGACCGCTGCCTCCAAGCGCTAGCCCCCGAAGTCCTTAATTTGTTGGATGATGGAGTTGAACTTGTTTCGGTCCAAGTGCTTCGTGGCTATGTCAGCAAGCATAGCCTGCGTTGGGACGTGGTGAACCGTGATGCGGCGCCGCTTGATCAATTCCCGGAGAAAGAAGAACCGCAGCGCGATGTTTTTGGTCCTCGAGCTGAACATGGTGTTGGCGGCAAGGCTTAGAGCCCCTGAGTTGTCACTGTGGATGGAGATCGGCCTGAAGTTGTCGAACTTGAGTTCCATTAGAAGGTAAGAGAGATACACGGCCTCCTTTGCTCCGTAGCTGATGGCTTGTAGCTCGCTCCCCACTGTAGACTGTGCCGTCAGTGACTGTGTCTTGGTTCCGAAGCTGATGAGGCCTCCTCCCAGGAAGAACAGGTACCCTGTGGTTGACTTCCTGTTGTCTGGGTTAGCTCCGAAAGAAGCGTCGGCGAACGCTGCAACGCGGAATCGTCCTCGCGTGAATATAATGGGCAAGTCTGGCGTTCCGCGAAGGCAGCGAAGCGTGTGTTTTGCCGCCGTCATGTGGGCCCGAGCAGGCTTGCTCCATGCCCTCGTCAGTTGGTTGACCTCGTAGCACAGATCATACCTTGTGCATTGAGCCAGGTAGAGCAGGCTGCCTGTGATGGACTGGTATAGCTTGGACTCGGCTGCTCCGAGTAGCTTATCCGCTGGCTGAACCGTCGAGAGTTGCGGTCCGTATCCCGGAGTGCTCACCGGGTTGCAGTTCTCCACGCCGAAACTCTCCAGAAAGCTTTTGACGTAGCCCTTCTGCGAGACGACCAGCGTTCCGTCTTCGTAGCTGCGCGTGACTTCCATGCCTAGGATGAGACGGACTTCTCCCATGTCTGTCTTTTCGAACCAGTCTTGCAGTTCTTTCTTCAGGTCAGCGACGAGCTCGGGGTCCTTTCCGCTGATCAGGATGTCGTCGACGTATAACGTCAAGATTACAAGGGTGTCGCCGCTTCCGTGTATGTAAACGCAGAGATCGGGCTGCGTGGGCCTGAATCCGATAACCACTAATAGTGCTTCGTCGATGGTGTCGTACCAGAGAACTGGCGACTGCGCGAGCCCATAGAGGCTGCGTTCGAGTTTGTAGACCACGATCTCCCCAGTCGCGGGGTTCTTTGCGTCTTGTCCTGGAGCGGGCTTGACCCACACGTCCTTGTCGATCGTTGACTGCAGAAACGCCACGGCTACGTCCATCTGCCACACTGGCCATCCGTGTTCGCATGCTATGGCGAGTAAGATGCGAACCCATACGGCACACCGGTGCGTAGCTCCTCCCAAAGTCGATACCAGATTCTTGTACATGGCCTTGAACCACCAGCCCGACCTTGAATCTCCCGTCCGCCTTCTGTTTGAAGACGAACCTTGTGCCGAGGATCCTCTCGTGCTTGGGAACGCTGGTGATCGGGACCAACTTGTAGACCTTGTGTTTCGCCAGACTGTCCAACTCCTTTCCCATAGCTTCCTTCCACTGCTTTGCCTCCGGCGAGTTGATGGCTTACTTGAAGGTGTTCGGGATTTTGATGGCTCTATGCTCCTCCTCCAAGAATCCTTGCGGGACAGGGGTTCCTGTGGCGTACACGTAGGCCCGCGATTTCGGGAGTGATTCTTCATCCAGATGCGCGAAATCCACGTGCTGGCATGATCGTGGTTGGTCCTTCTGGCCATGTCCAACAGCTGGCCAGACGTTAGAGCACTCGGGTCGGACCGCATCGAGGCGGCGGCCATACAACCACCTCCGCTGTCGTCCATGTTGATCTCCAGAGAGCTGGGGGCAAGGGCGGCGTCGAACGATACTACGGTGTCCGGCTTGCCGAACGTCGGATCTTCCGGGAAGGTGTGAGGTGTTGTCATCGATGCTTCCTTTCGCTTGGAAGCAGCTTGGAACTCAATGTCCAGGGAGCACATGCCCATGTCGTGCGGGTCCTGCTTCAGCGGTATGATGTAGTCTCCTTCTTCTAGGTGAGGGTTGCCTGCCTCCACGACGAGCCTGACCCCGTTCTTCATCTGGGCAGTAGGCGAGAAGATGTTGCGTCCGAGGCCGGAGACGACCAGTCCTCGAAAGCGCACAGCCTGTTTCTCGCCGCAGCTATCCTTGACGAAGCAGTGGACAAGTCCCGTAGCTGTCCCTTTCAGTTGACGGTCACCGGCAACCGTGATCGCCTTCGGCTTCGCGAGTTCTTTGTACTCCCACATTATCCTTCAAGTGTGGGATGAGACGGTCGTCGCGCATGGTCTCCGTTGCTCCGATCTCGACGAGGAGAGTGACTCCCTCAGCATTGGCCTCGACTTCCATTCCTGTGCGAGTGGTGGCGTACATGAACCCTTCGTCTGACTCGTCGCCGTCCGTGCTTGAATCAATAGCGGCTTTCGTGCTGCTTGCCTCCTTCGCAGTGGTTAGTTCCTTCCTGTCGCTAGTTGAAGAGAAGTGTGCACAGTGCGCGCAGGCAGAGAACGCCTTGTCCGTGGAGATTTGATCGGTGATCGGCCGCTTCGCTCCTTGCCCGTAGCATTCTTCGTCGGAGTTTTTGGTAGTGAAGTGAAAGCAGCACCACTTGGTCGCTCCCGCGGGTTTGGTCTTCCTCTGTCTCCCCTTCCCTCTCCTTTGGAGGCAGTTCCTGCGGATGTGTCCCTTCTCTCCGCAGCCGAAACAGGTCTCTTGCTCGGATGCGGTTGTGACCATGGGGAAGCCGCGGCCGGCGATGCCGCCCTTGGACCCTTTGCGGGACTGCTCGTCCAAAGCCATGTGATGCATGGTGGTCTGCATGTGGTTGACGTTGAAGTTTGGGTCGCGGTGCATAATCATCTTCACGTTCTTATACTCGTGGGTGAATCCTGTGACGCACATGTCCTTGAAGTAGCGGTCCGAGATTTTCTCCCCCATCTTCTCGACCTTGTGTCGAAGGAGGTGCTTGTGGTTGAAGTAGTCGTCCGGGTTCTGTCCGGGCTCCATCGACGTGTTATCCAGCTTCTCCATGGTGGCTCGAATCACTTCGTCCGTAACCTTGTTGTAGGTGAGGTTAAGTTCCCTGAAGGCCGCCTGTCCGTCTCAGCTGATCTCGTTGTCGTCTACATTCTTTTCCACCGAAAGGGGCGCCAGTAGTTCGACCAGCAGGTAGAGTATGGCGTACAAGTCCTCGTTCGACTTACGGTAGGCGGTGTAGGCAGCGACATTCGTTTCTGCAGTCTTGCGTTCGTCTTTGAGCAATGGGAGAATGCCCCTGCGTGTAACCCCCAGGACGACACAGAGCGTCTTCATCCAATTTTTTAATTCGGCCGGATTCCTTCCGTCGAACTTTTTCAGCCCTCGATTAGTGTTGGCGAGGTTGGTGGTGTTGTCGCTGAGAGAGTTATCACCCATCTTGATTGTCGGTTCCTATCGCGATGCGCTCCTGATGCCGTGTGGTGTACTGGACGATGCTGATTTTCCCCTCTGTCGCAGCAGTCCCTTCCGTCACGGGAGGAAGGAGTTGTTTGCTCGTGGTGTCACCCCGAGACTTCACCACCCCGCTCCTGTTCAAAAGGAATACGGTTGTAGGTCGTCTTTGCCCGGGCCCGCTCCTGTTACCCTTTCCTCGCGGATGGGTGTATAGGACTACGGTGTGGACCGTCCCGACCCCGCTCCTGCTACCCTCTCCTCTCGGATCGGTGTATAGGACTGCGGTTGTAGGTCGTCTTTTCCCGGCCCCGCTCCTGTTACCCTTTCCTCGCGGATGGGTGTTTAGGGCTACGGTGTGGACTGTGCCGACCCCGCTCCTGCTACCCTCTCCTCTCGGATCAGTGTAGAGGACTACGGTTGTAGGTCGTCTTTTCCCGGCCCCGCTCCTGTTACCCTTTCCTCGTGGATGGGTGTATAGGACTACGGTGTGGACCGTCCCTGCCGTTGATACGGCAGTTAGTTGTCTGCTCGATGTTCGAGCCCTTTTTTTCTCCAGCGGGAATAGAGTTAGTGTTCCGGACGGCCGCGTACACCGGTTCTAAATAGTGTGATGATGGACACTTGTGACGCAAGGCACAAGTGCCCGGAGCGCTCGTCCCTGTGATGGGCACTGAATAAGTGCTCGGAGGGGGGTTTCCCGAGAAGATGTAACCGTCTCTCGGGCTAATAATGGAAACCAATGGAAGAATTCCGATTGGTTACCATTCCCCGCGCGATGATGAAACGGTTCCTCCGCATGACAGCTTGCAGCAATCTTGCCCCCCAAGCTGTCAGTGACCTTTGAGTCCGGAAACTGAGCACGAAACATTTGTGAACGAACCCGACCTGAGCGCTATTGACCTGATACCATAACTGTGAGTCATGACCACGCCTGCATGCATGCATGCCTGACCGGATGATGGAGTATCGCTGCTTGCTCGCTTGTGTTGATGATGGAACGCTTGGCACATGTCTACAATCGAACTCGCAGAGACTAGCTATGATCTGCGCAGGTGAGAGTGTCTTTGCCTGGAATATCGTAGTCTAGCCTTGTCTCTGTGCGTTGTCTCTTTGCAATTGCTGATTGATAAACGTGGCGTGGCACCAGCGTGTTCATCAATCTCGCCCTGTTCATGCATTTTGTCCACAAACATGCATATATATATGATCACGCATACATATATGATCACCGTTTTCTTGTGTGTGCGGGTGGTGAACCCCCGCCCTCACATTTCTTTCCCCGTGCAACACCTTACCAAACTACTACTGGTCTGGTGTGCGCCACGTCATCTGTGAGGGCCACGACCCACCCATGTTGTGCTGCACCGATGTGCGCGCATGTCGATGCTCCTACGGCTGTTCACGCAGCCATCGAACAACACAAAAACACACGTCAATTTTGTGTGTGGTCATAATTTGTTTTTTTTCTATGTGTGTGGTGAGCGACCGACTCGCATCCATGCCCCTACGCGACCCTTTCCACGCCATTTGTCTGTGCCGTGTTACTTTTGTCAGAAGTCATCGTAACTGTTTGAATGTTGTGCTTACGTGGCCTGAGTGCGTGCTGTGTTCCTACGGTGTGTAGTGCTTAATTTCATCTCCACGCGTTGCGTACATGCACAGACCCTACTGGAAACTGTCACTTAAAAAAAAAAGTAAGCCGCTTCCGTGTGTGGTCGTCACCTTTTCTCTTGTGCGTGCGGTGACCTACCGCTCCGCATTTATTTGCGTCCCTACGCAATACACTACCCTACCCCGGTGTGTGCCGTTTTATAACTTATGAGGACTCTGCCGAACTGTGGGCGCGTACGCTTGCTGGGTGGGTGCATTTGATCCTCTGATATGGAGTGGTTTTCCTCTTTCTACGCTGCCTACATGCGCGGACCCTGCTGGAAAACTGGAAAATGGAACTTGTCGTGGTTACGCATTCCAGCCTCGAAATCACCCGAATACACGCTCTGTTTGGTACACCGGTGCCTGCTGTCATACCTACCCACCGAACCTCATGCCCTGAGGAATCCATCCACTAGACATACATGTGGAGTCGAACCCGGTGTTTGGATGTGGGATACTTCCATCCTACGCGCCGCGCTACCAACAGACAACCAATCATTTTGGGCCTCGGGCTGTGTCCCGCTGACTATAGTCACGAAAAAAAGCGAGACTCCGCCCACTCCGTGCATCGCCAGCTATACTACGCAAGGCAGCGCGAGACATCAATTTTATGCTTTCTGACCGTGACAACAAGTGGAAATAATTGTTTGCCCTATACTCCGAAATTTGACATTTTCAGGTGGGAAATCCACACAACAAAACGGTTACCCCCACCCGCCATACAGCTAAGCTACGTTCATACAAATGAGTATGGTTCTTCTCATGAACGACCATCGTTTGTGCATCATAATCAACAACCACATCGACACCGCCGCCCAAGGCACAGTTGTCAACTACAAAAAAAAAAAAAAACTGCTGGCATCGGGCGTCGTTCTGTCACGCACCCCCGAGGTCGCCCTGGACGTTTGGCCCAACATGATGCGTGGAAACCACGTGCGTGCCTGCCGACCACATTCATTTTTTGAAATCGCGACATTCGGACATCGGTAGTGTTGTGTATCGGCGCAGCCGAACGATATAATATTTATCGGAGAGCGAAGCGAGCGGTGGTTAGGGGGCTCGCGAAGCGAGCCCCCCCTCGGCCCCCCGGCTGGTGAGGGGCCCCGCTGGAGGCGCCCCCGGAGGGCCCGGCTGGAGGCGCCCCGCCGGAGGCGTTTTTTTACGCGATTTGGCTTCACTAGAGCATATTTTTTGGGTGATTTTGGGGCACTTCGACCATGCCATTTTTTGTTGGGTGATATCCTGAAAACTACTGAAAAACGCTAAAACTTGGAAACCATCGACAATAAATGACAGATGATTAGTCAGTTCTCTTTCGAAGTTTTGGTTGGGTGGTACAACACGACCACGTTTGAACGTCTTCACGAAGCTTCTTCCAAAACACGTTCCCACCTCCCTCGTCCTCCCTCTCTCTCTGAATCTTGTCATGTTTCTACAACACAGCCTAAGTTCGGTCTGCTCTTCTGTGGTCCAAAGCAACAACAGCCGCCGCAACAGCGAGGCCTCATAGGGGGTCCAAACGTGTAACTGTTGTAACATATGCCCCCTTTTTGATTCACGGAGCCCCCTCAAATATATCGCCCAACATATCGGGGCTGACAATAGATATTCGATACGATATATATCGTCCGATTATATCAAACATATCGGCTCCGATACACAACCCTAGACATCGGACATGTTGCACCGTGCAGCAACCGAGCACACTGAAAATAAATATTGTACCATAAACGGACACAAAATTTTGCGAGTCGACCACTGCTGTCGACGGAATCCCCATGTACCTACTACGAGCTGGCTGTTAGTTGCGAGAGCCCCTCCGACCCCTCATCTCCATGAACTGAGTCCTCATCTACGACGATCTCCAACGGACACACGCGCGTACTCCATGCCCACACCCACCCGACAAACACAACAACAGAAATAATATGAAAAACAAGAAACACGTTTATTTTTTTTTTCCATGCCCCCATAAAACCATCAACGACTGGGAATGGTCTCTGCCTGGATTTAATTAAGGAATAATAAAAACACACACAGAAAGACTACCCATTCGAGATATACCCACAGTCGAACGGGATGTGGTGGAGTCTTTTCAGTGAGTGGAGGGAAACCGGCTGGGTACTGGACTTATTTCGAGTCTTTTAAGTCTATACACTGATGATTTACTGATGATTTATACCAGTGATGCCAGCTGGTGCTAACTACAAAAACATCTGTATAGGTAACTTACATTTTACAATACATCCCCTGTAGTTCTCTACTGGGTCAACGACAAAATATCGGGGAGAAACCCTCCGTTGTGTCGTGTATTGTCAAATGTAACCTTCACAGGGGACACGGCGCAGTGTCTATTGACAGCTTGCCGGTATATTAGACATATTAGGAATAATATTATAAAAATCATGGAAGGTGGAACGAAGTCTACAGCAGTACATCACCAGCCCTACATTACTCGTTTTTCAAATCTACAGATTTTTGAATTTCACGGACAGCAGGTGTTTCCCGCCGTTTTTTTGAATTTACAAATCGTTTTTGATCCTTTGGGTTTATTTTTGTGTTCCGCTCAGAGCACTACGCTCACAGCCGCGATCTCTATTGCGCGGTGCTCCCATCACATCTTACGAGGCGAATGTCATCTTGGTGTGTATGTACGAAAGAATGCGTGTGGGACGAGAGAGGTAAGCTCTCGGTCGGTTGTTCTCTTCCCCGGGCCCGCTCAAGCTGACACTGAAAAAAACGAAATGCTCCGCAACTCACCAGTCAGCTGCTGTTATTGTAACAACAACATTATTAACGTAACTACGGCTGGCTGTGGTGGTACGCGGAACCCCTGTGCGACCAAATTTACTGCACACGGGTTGAATTTCCCTCCCCCACTGAAGGGATCGTTTGTAGTGGAAGTCAGCCAGAGACGCAGGCTCGGCGGGAGAAAGGGTGAGTATAACAGACACAGCAACGCGCTCTGTGTGGGTTCTGACTGCTTCATTTATTTGCCTGCAATAATACCATGTTTGACCCAACGTTTCTAACATCGCCTCCCCATGGACCGGTATTTTCATAGGAATGGCTGCATACCCTCTAAAAATAAAACTATGACAAAAACAACACAAAGAAGCAAGCAACGTAGACAAACAGTGCGAGCTGGAGGAAGCAAGCCAGCGAGAGTTGGGGCAGCACTAAACTATACTATGTGGGTTTGGTTTTTTACATTATTTTTTTTTCTTATTTTCCTGGTCTCGGCGCAGGGCATGTAATTTAATATCAAAACTACTTCTAAGTAAATAACAACCAATAACCAAGAGTTACACGGAGAACATCACCCCTCCTCATAATGCTGTACGAAAAATATCACCCCTCCTCATAACAGGTTTGTGTATGGAGAATACCACACATTTACATAACCACGAGCTGCGGAGCTACACGAAAAAAAACATCCACACAACCCCGACCTAGACGGAAAACACCACGCTCTCACGAGCAATACCGGAAAACAATAAAATAAAATAAACTAACCCGTGAACCTGTCAAGCTCCACCGTGCCGCCACAAAGCCTCACGAACAACATTACCCTGTGTGGGGGCATGAAGGGGCAAATGGAATGGGGTCTCACAGGCTATCCTCAACCAACAACCCCGTACACATTCTACAGCGACGACATATACCAATCACGCAGGCGACACCTTCCCAACTGCACACGACCAAACCCCGTCACCATCGTACTACACGTGGGACTATCCGGGAATGAACGTGGATCCAACTACGCGTGTAGTAGTAGAGTATCGATGGGAGAGGCTTTAACGAGGGGATGTGGGCAAACTAGTGCATGCATTGGTTTGGGTATTGTTTTTCTTCCTTTCTTCTCTTCTCTCGGTTCCACCATCAGCCTGGAAGCATCGGTGTTTCACACCATGTAACACCACAATCAACCACCCAAGACCTACGGTGAGTACAAGAACCGAGAGTAAGAATGGGTGAGTACAATAATAGCATGTGAGGTGAGTACGCGTGGTGCGTGGTGGGGAGGTGGAAACTCAGGAAAACTAAAACTTATTGTTTCTTTTTCATGACACGCACAACGTGTTTGGATTGAAGGTTATTTGCCTATACAGTGCCGTACACGCCCACCACCACAACAACAAACACCTCTCTTCTGAAGCACATCGCTTCACCTAAACATAGAACTGTTTTTCAAGCTGGGCGCGTTCAGGACGACCGGCGACTGAACCCGCCCCACATCACCTTCTTTTGGGCTTCGGAATATGTGTGCGTCAGAATGACCGTGTACTGTTTATGCCCAAACGCGATATGGACGTGAAACAAATACCGCGTGTCGGCGTGGTGTGCGCCGCATGATGATTACTACATGATTTGTTATTCCTTCGCTCGGTTCTTACGGGCTACACTGTAGTTATGTGGGGTGCGCTCCTCTGCTCACCGTGCAAACGTGCGGAAATACGGATTACACCAGACCATGAATCAATGGATTCTCGTCATGACGAGCACGATTGGTGAGCATGTGACCCGAGCTGAAGGAAGGAGTAAGCACGGTTTATCTGTTGAGTGAAACCATGTCGACAACCAAACCCGCAGATTAACCGTAAGATGAATATGAACCCGAGCTTCATTGATCATTGCTTGTACGAATTTGTTTGGGAAAACGACACAACAGGGTATACCCTGGTCGAAAAGCGACACACCTGGGTACACAGTCATGAACAGCAGTAAATGCATTCATATGATTGGTCAGCGCCTAATTTCACCCCGGTACGTCCGAAAAGGCGCAGGGTATACCCTGCTGTGTCTACTTTTCTCACCAACTGTACCCTGTTTTCGGAAGTGTACCCTGACCTGACGGGAAATGAGACCCATTCATCAACCATTTCCCCCGCAGGAATCTTCCCAACTCCTTTTCCCCTCCAACCATGGGGTAACAAACGGCGAATCTTCCCACCCAATAACAACCATGGCAACGCGGCAGGAATCAGTTTCCGCCCCTGCCAAACAACACCAACCATCAACTCTTCCGCTCGAAATCAACAATGGCCGGGCAATACCCCTGCACAGTTGTTCCGTTTGGAAACATACATGCACACACGCGTACAATACCCCGTGCACCACTGCCGCCTGCAGTCTATATGCGACATGCACGGGTCACGCTATGAAAGCGAGACCGATCCAGCATGGTTGACATGCATATGTATGCATGTATGTATGTGCCCATGACGTGTGGCGCTGCGCTGAGCGGGCGGAGGAGAGAGGCAGCAACACCACACACAGACACGCCGTGGACATCAATCATGGAAGAAGGAGCGAGTGCTAACAACTCTAGCAGCAGGACTGTGTCTTCCAACTCAATCACCCTCCCTGTGCTCGCGGTGTATTTCATCGGCTCATCCCGGTGAAGCCTGACGTCTTCTTACCACATTGATTGGTTGGTCGGCTTGGTCGGCTGGTAAGCGCGACCGCTGCTGTTAAGGCAGTAGTTCAAGCAAGAAACACATCGCAATTGAGACACAACAGACAACACACCCACACACACACGGCACAGGCAGGAGGGAGTGGCGGCGCCCAACGTTACCCGTGTAGTGCTGTGTCCGCATCCTCCTCGAAGAAGCACACACAGCCAACATCAGATCACTGAATGGACTATTTATGATCTTCTGAGACCATCTCTCTTGTACGCAAGAAAAGGCTTTGATTCTGTAGGTGTGGTTGTTGTCGTGTTTGCAACACCCACGCGCTCAGGGCTCAAGCCTCAGCTCCACCACGATTACAATCCTGTATATGTCGCATGGGTTGAACCGAACCTAACGTCTTAACTGATACACTGCTGTAGGTGCTTGTTCCGAGAGGCGACTTGCGACACCCCTGTAGCACAGTAGACTACAGCCGTAACGCCCTTCCCCCCAGAATCTACTTTCAAGTACGCCACATGAGGCCAGAAGGTGGTGCAGTATTCTGTTTGCACGCACGCACCGAAAGCCATCTAAATGTGCACAATGACCGATAGTTAAATGCTGCAGATACATGTCGTTTGGTTGTCGATGTAACACCAAGCACACCTTTCGCGGTGTGGGACTTTGTATTGTAGTAGACTCTTCGCACGTAGTATTGCCATCGTACAGTAGTACAAGACAGTAAATGCGGCGTTCAAAAACGTCAAGGTTGTGGCCCAACTTATTTCGCTGCGTACATCACCGCTCATCGGCGCAGACGGAAGCCAGCAACACTTGCGTGCTGTATTTCTACACGGCGGAATGTTAACCACCGCCCCCCCGCCCATTGACGAGAACACCTTTGGGTTACGGACGTTTACCGTGGATTAGTTGTTCGGTTGCGAATCTGTCTGTTGGGGTGAAGGGCCACTTCCGCAAACGCTCTTCGTCGCGGTTATCGTGAGAAGCGTTTCGCAGGTACGTGGGGCTGCATGGCTCAAGACAACCGTCCTTGACTACTGCTTCCTCTGCTTCCTCTTGGGGCTCGACGCTTGTGCCCATTTTTCACGCCAAGACGATCTTCCCCTCCCAAGTCATGTGCGTGGTTGTCGAATTTCGCTGTTCATCTCTGTTGTGCATGGATATTTTGGAAACTGCCAAGCGAAAATAAGCGCCGAGGCACGCGCCCCGCCGTCTCTGGTGCTCTACGCAAAGTTGCAAACACATTCGACCTCTTGCACCCTGTCATTCGCGGATCACCGCGTCGTATGTGACTCGGACAACGTGCGACGAAGAAATCCAAAGGCCAGCTCAAGAGGACGAGTCAAACCACTTGAGCTACGAGTCAAACCACTTGAGCTACGAGTCAAACCACTTGAGCTAGGACAGGTCGATGGAGCCTTGGGATTGACTCAGCATAGCGCTTGACCCGGCCCCCGCCCCCGCTGTGTGGTCGCGGCCGGAAGCGTCTTGTGAGCCGTAACGCTGAACCGCAAGCCCCCCCCATACCCTCCCGGTAGGTCGCTCGCCCGCGGAACCTCCGACGTTGAGGTCTCCCACGTGGCTGCGAACACTGCCCATCCCATGTACTGGGACGGGCTGGGCGTTGCCGCCCCCGCCACGACCACCTCCGCCTTGGGCTACGTTGCCACGTCCGCGCTGGCAGTTGTCGTTGCGACCAGGGATTCGGGAACGCTGCCGGGGGCCACGCTTCTTCTTCGGAGCACCAGCTTGCCGGGTCACCTGGCGCGGGGGCAGGAGGTCGCCCTTCGAAAGCTCTGACCAGATAGGAAGCACGACGGGATAGTCGGGGTGGCTGTGGAGCGCCCTGTAGGAAGCCAGGGTGTACCCGCCATCAACATGCGCCCTCGTGCAGTCAAGCCTGTCGATTGCTGTCAGGGCATCGGGAAGAGGCGGATTGGGCCAGGAGTCGTAAAAGAACGGTCAATTTATTGTACTGTGAGCATTGGATTTCTTGTTTTGTCACCCTCCCTCATCCCGCTATTGCCCGCGTCAAGTCCTCCCGGGTGCGAACCTAAGACCGAAACGATCCCACTCCGGAGGAAAGAAGCACAAAAGCATGGGATGAACCGAGAAGGAAGAGACGACCTGGAAGAGAACCCTGCTCTTCCAACCACGAAACCCCGAAGGAATAGAGGGCTAGCTCAAAAGAAGCAGTGAGAATATTTGCGAGGAGTAGTCGACACAAAGACAATGATAGAACAAACAAAACGCGGACGGAGTCGAAACGGACTGCGTTCAAAGCAGGAACGACGGTAGCTTGGGTTTCTCGTCATAAGCTACCGTGTCACTGTGTCATGGATGCCTACAATAGCCTAGCCTTCCCTACGATGCCTTCACATGGGTTCCTTTCACAGAACATGGCCGTTAGGAGGGAACTCGTGCGGCCGGACACGCATGTGTGGTCCGTGCTACGGATATTGGGAAACACACAAACCGACCGACGAGCCCGATCACCACAAAATGTGTTCGCTAGCTTGTGTGAAAACCAGTGCTGTTTTAGATGGATCTTCGTCTTTGTTGTCTTATCCTCAAGCCCACTTTAGTCAACATCCGAGGAAGCAACGTGTTTTCGGTAAGGCAGGAATCCCGTGGTTCTAGCTAAGCTTCATTGAACAATACCAACGAAGGGATGTTTGTCAACTAGCACACACTCCTCCCAAGCAGTGGTAACACGCTCATCAACCTCTGCCTATATTCATGGTAATTCATGGAGAGGGGGTGGGTGCTAGCTCCCTTCGGGTGTGCGACTTCACACGTGGCTACGAAATACGAAGATGACACATAGCTTGGGCTCATGCACGACATGCACAGGCAGAGGGAATCCCACTTCATTCTACGAGAACCTCGTTCACAGCCAAGGGTGAGCTTGTGCCATAGGCAAAAGAAGGAACAACTTCGAGCGACAGATGAACAGAGGAAAACCCAGTGACGAGAAACGAGGATCTGCGATGTACATTGTACGAGGTCGCACATTGCACGTGAGCTGCGAGAAGAGTACATACAGAATGCAAACACAGACGGCCAACAGAAGACACCAAGCCGAACCATGATTGCAACATTGCAACCCAAAAATCAATTGCGATCCATGTTTTCAACCACTCAGAGGAGGCTTACATTTCAACACCGCGAGGGAGTCCTGGCACAGCAGGTGGAACCTGGAAGGGACGCTGCAGGTGCACTCGACGCGGCCACCCTTCCCTTCCGTGTCCGGCAGCACGATCGTCACCCTGTTGCCGTACTGGCTCTTGCCGTGCTCCTGAACAAGGTAGGTGCCCAAGCCCAAGCTCTTGACGTGCTTGCTGCCGACGAGTGGGGCGAACGCCATGAAGAACCAACGAAGCAAGGGAACAAAGCAGACGAAAACTGAGTTTGTGCCGTCGACGAAAGACAGGTGTCATGCTCTGGTTGTTAAGAGTGCACCACACACAAAACGACAGACAAAACCGACGAGTAAATCATGGACTCAAAGAGAGAGAGACAGGACGGGTGGATCACCCAACTGACGGGGTCGTACTGTACACCCAATCGAGCACGCAGCCGTGGAATGAACGGAGGAAAGAACAAGGAACGCACCAGGCGTGGTTGTCCCAGAACTTACTGAAGACTGAGCAACCTCTCGTCCTCCATGAACTTGGCCGCGAATGGGACGAGGATGGCAGAGCTGTCCTTCTTCAATTCGGCATTCGTCGCGAGTTGCTCTGCAGTTTTCTCCGCAATCCCGATGTGGAGATGATAAGGGTCCATTTCCCGTGTCTGCGAGCAACAAACGTCAACAACGGAAGAGGGACACGTCAACGCTTCAAACGCTGATGACTTGAACAGGAAAAGCATAAAAACCTTTTGGCCGCACAGACCGGTGCGTAGAGAAGGAAGTCACAACACGCTGACAAGTGGCCGTTGTAGAATTGGGACGGCGGGATTCCTAACAATAAAATTGGGTGAGAATGTATATGTGTCTTCACGTTCAGCTAGACCCCGCTTACAGACTGACCAATGAAATTACGGAAATCTTTCCGAAGGCCTTGATGTTGGACCTGGTGAACGGGTGACATGGGAGAGGCTACGACATTCTCCGGATGGGAAAGAGAAATGCACCCATCTACCAAGTCTTGTTTCAGCGCATGTATAGCAGTGAGGGATGGTACCGAGTCGTTTTATCTTGGATTCTTTCATGTTGGATCGACCCACTGAAAAAGGTAGCACCCACTAAATACCACTTCGATTACCACCAACATTCACGACACAAGATTACATGCATGAAAAAAAGCGATGGGAGTGTCAAGAGACTCGGAACTACAGTGGTCGACTGTCGGGGGCTTCGCAAAACGCTGGCTTCTGTGTAGGCCCACACGGGAACCGACATCTGCCGCTTGACGCTGAGCGAGAGGACCACCTCATGCACCATCTATGAGAATCAACGAGAAAAATTCCTCTTGAAGGGTATAGTGCGTCAATTCGGACCTGCAAAGCCTTCTAAACACATCCACCCTTTTCGTTCACCAACCTGGTGGCCGACCGCGGAAATGCTGGACTCCGCAGAGTTGGAGGTGCTCATCTTCAGGTTGACCAGGTTGCTGGGGGTGGCATGGTGTGTCCATTTCTTGAGGTCGTTGCTCATGAGCATGCCGTAGTTACCCGGGAAGTCCTTCTTGACTGGCTCCATGATCTCCTCGAACAGGGCCTTGGTAGGCGCCACCGCCGCTCGGTAAACCGCGTTTGAATAGGCCTGCTTTACAACACGATAGCGAAAAGGGCAAAGAAGAGTTGTGTGTGACCCCGGGTGATGAGCTAAACATGCATGTTCACCGAGAGGTGCGTCTGCTGGACCCAGAAAGGATGGGACGGGCACAGAAAAACAAGTGCAAGTGCTCGGGAGACGTTCTTGCAACATTTGCTTGACAGGAGGTCCATCACTCACAACCGTCACACATTCATGGGTGGGAACTGTTTCTAGCACAACTAGTCATGGGCGTTTTTTGCGGAGGGCGCGGAGGCGGGCCGAGAGTCGTACATACAGTTTTGGAGCCCTTTACGCGATGCAACCAAGCTGCAGTGCTTAAGACTGCACCTCCCCTCACACCTTAACAAGTGATCCGCTCGAACTACGCGTGAAGCGTCGTCGCAAGTGGCACACGACGTGTCCCCCAATATACGGTACATGCGGTTTACGATAAATGGGTTGAAACACCAACGAGGCAAGATTGTAGCAAAAAAGAACTTTACGGCTCTCTGGGGGGTTATGGTCAAGTTTTTTTAGTTGGGCGAGTGCCTCATCTTGTGCACCTGGCCTCCACCAGCAGCGAAATATGATATTGGCTGTCCGATACTCTACACATATTTCCAGAGGTTGCGATGCGCGACGACGTGCAGCTCAACTCTCAATCATCTCATTTGGAAAAACCCAAAACAAAGGACACTATTCCCCAACTTGTACTCACTTGTCCCATTGCCTTCATGTTTCTGTTGGTGATGAAGTGCCTCACGCACGCACGCCATGGCGCTTGCGGTAGAACCGCCCTGAGGGCCGCCGGTGATCCTTTGTGACCGTCGATGTAGAACGTCACCTCGCCGGACGAAAGAAGTCGCTGCATGTGCTCGTTCCGGCAGGTCTGCTGGAGCAGGAACTCGTAGTTGGTCGCGTTCTCTTTGTCTGCGAGGACAGTGCTGACGTGGATGATCTTGTTGTTACTGTCGTGCATGCAGAGGACGTACATGACTCCGTGCCACGAACCCTTGAGGTGGCCAGCGTCCATGGCCACTATCTGTTCAGAACGGCAGGGGGGGAGAATTGGGTATTTCGTGAGGGCAAAGGCCAGACGGTTCAAGGTGCTCGGAGGTCTGGTAAGGCCCTACTTGCGTGTCTGCCGAAACGTTGTTTGGGGTCGCCCTCTCTGAATCCCGCCATCAACTGTTTGGGACGCGGGCGCCCATCAACCTGCGAGTAGTGTCACAATGTCGACAAGTACAGTACCAGAAATGCGCTGTAATCAAAGAAGGGGGAGAGAAGGGCGAGAGCTGGAGCAACATGCCATCATACGACGTAGTCTCGGATTTGTGCAAAGGGACGGTAGGAAATTGCCAAAACGGTAAGAGTGAAGAGCTAGCAAACAGGTGAATTGCGAGATGCCGCCAGCGGTGTAGTAGGAAAGGCCTTTTCCACGGCCGGTATGCTGCTTTGTGTACTGCTCCTGTTGTGCGAATTTGTAGGCTTGCACCTGGAACAAAAATCGGCCAACAAACACACCCCAATTGTATCGATAGTAGGATGAAGTCGCAATTTTACCCAACCCTTGTCGGTTGACGCGGGCATCCCCCCCGTTTTTTCTCACTTTCCTCTTTCTCTGAGTGTCTTTCTTTCCGGCACTGGTCACTTACAAATGGAGTTCGAAAACACCACTACCTGTTGTTCAATCAAACTAACGCACATAACGACACATAAGGGCCTGTTTCAGGGCAAACAAAATGTGGCGAGTGGTGAGTGGGCACGGTCGGGACGGCCTGTCGGTTCTTTCAAATGAAATCAATTTTGAAGGGAACAGCAGTCCTTGCCCACCGTTCCGCGCCCGGATGGCGTTTACCTTTCAACCAGCCACTGCTCGTTTGAACAACATCGGGAACACGCTAGATAGATGAGGTACATGCGACCACAGCAACGTCGGTGACAGCATTGCCGTGGTGTTGGAGGTACTACGGTAACGAGCAGCAGCATTTTTTGTTGAAAAAGTAGAAGTGCCAAGGGAAGACATTCACGCTAACACTGAGATATTGCCCGTTCGAGATAAAGAGCAGGTAGTGCAGTAGTCGATAATCCATTCCTGCTGTTGCAGTTAGATTCCACCACTCAAACTTCCACCTATTCTCCGTGGTGCAATTGTCCGGTCCCATGTTCTTAGAGGGGGCCCCACATGTAGTACACGCCTTACCACAAAAAAATGGGGGGATTACTGTCGCCATAATGAACACTTCACCCCATTTCGTCACGCGACATGGCGCGCCAACCAAAATGCAAAATTGTGAAGCTGAGGAGCAATTGCTAATGGCCTTCCTCGGACCACTTGGTATGAGCCTCAATTGTCCTCAGAGGTGCGTTACAATACATACAGATGTAGTACAAGACTTTGACAGTGAGCTCGAGACATAGCTGGACGTGAGCTCGATAGTGTGTGGCTAGAAAGCCAGGGGGCACTCGATTGTTATCTGAAAATGAAAATCACTTCTGCCTGCGCAAACCTCGCTGCGGGTTTGAGAACAACACTGCTTCTCTTTCCCGCGAGTCCATTCATCCTTATGGGAACTGGTGGCAGCAAGTCATGTACAGGGTTCAGAGATGATGTGTGGTACCGTTCCACCTAAAAACGCATCGACACGACCAATGTATTGTTTGTGACTTTTTCAGTGGCTCTCCACGGCTTTCAATGGCCAATGGCGCTCTCCACGGCTTGAATACATACTGGTAAATCTCAGCGAAAATGAAAAAGCCAGCAACGTTTGCACGAGAATCACGAAAGAGATTCACTCGCCTTGGGGACGCTGTGCGCGGCGACGTAGGCGGCCTTACCCAGCATCAGGAAGCTCCTGACGAACCGGTTGTCGGGACTCATCTAACGAGGGAAAACGCGTGCACACGGGATAGTAAACACAGGAAGGTCAGCCGACCCGAACGACACACTGGGCTGCACGTTGCTCACACTTCGTGTGCGGGGATGGATCATTTGGATGGAGACGGGTAAGAAGCGAGGGAAACCTACAGTTGTGTACAGAGCCTACGGTAACGTGACAATGGCACATGTACAACATGCTACATGTGGTACTTACTGCTGTTGTCTACATGTAGTCCTGCCAACCTTTGCACTGCTGCATCACGTGCACATTGACCATGGGCCCCGATCAAACTCTTACCTCGACGGTGGCAATCGAACCCGGGCAATCGCGCTCGATCCCTTGGAAAAGGGATGGAAGACGCGAAAGGGCAGCCGCTCCATCCCCCTTGGTAGCGGTCGCGATGCGCTTCTTGGCGCGTTGAGATTGCCGGTCGGAGACGGTGAATCCCACGGTCTTGAGGGTTCTCTTGATCGCGGTACCGGCGATCTTGGGGTTGGCCCTAACCAACTGGTTCACCAGGGGTTGTACGACTGCGGAGCTCGTCCGACCGCCCCCAGCACAGTCGACGTGCGAGCCCTCTACCTTGGTGATCTTGAAGTCACCGCCCTTCTGTAGGCAGCCCTTCACTACCCAAGTTGTGCAAGTCTTGCACACCAAATGAATTTGGCGGCTGCCAGCACCCTTTCCATTCTTCATGGAACGGCCGGTGGCAGCAAGCTCAGCGGCTACAGCAACCTTCGCCGCATGGCGGCTGGGGAATATTTGCCCTGCGACAACGGGCACTAACGTGGTGGACAAACCCGCCGCCGCCGCTCCTGCGTTGCCGCTCGCTCCTTCTTCCATGATTGATGTCAACGGCGTGTCTGTGTGTGGTGTTGCTGCCTCTCTCCTCCGCCCGCTCAGCGCAGCGCCACACGTCATGGGCACATACATACATGCATATATATGCATGTCAACCATGCTGGATCGGTCTCGCTTTCATAGCGTGACCCGTGCATGTCGCATATAGACTGCAGGCGGCAGTGGTGCACGGGGTATTGTACGCGTGTGTGCATGTTTCCAAACGGAACAACTGTGCAGGGGTATTGCCCGGCCATTGTTGATTTCGAGCGGAAGAGTTGATGGTTGGTGTTGTTTGGCAGGGGCGGAAACTGATTCCTGCCGCGTTGCCATGGTTGTTATTGGGTGGGAAGATTCGCCGTTTGTTACCCCATGGTTGGAGGGGAAAAGGAGTTGGGAAGATTCCTGCGGGGGAAATGGTTGATGAATGGGTCTCATTTCCCGTCAGGTCAGGGTACACTTCCGAAAACAGGGTACAGTTGGTGAGAAAAGTAGACACAGCAGGGTATACCCTGCGCCTTTTCGGACGTACCGGGGTGAAATTGGGCGCTGACCAATCATATGAATGCATTTACTGCTGTTAATGACTGTGTACCCAGGTGTGTGGCTTTTCGACCAGGGTATACCCTGTTGTGTCGTTTTCCCAATTTGTTTTGCTGAGTATCTGTCTTCGGACACGACGATATTCTGACGACACCACCATTGTTGGGCTGCCTCCAACCTCAAGGCTTCTTCCGGATATTCCGGCCATATCTATCCGACCCTGCCTTCGCTGGGGCCTTGATTTTGTTTTTGTTTCTGTTCCCTGTGGAGAGGGGAGGGACGTCCTCAGCGCCGATACCGTCTGGATTGTGCCACGACGAGCTTCGTGTCATTTGCACCAAGCCACAACGCCGAGACCAACCTTCAACAAACCACAATTAATTCCAAAAATCAACGACGATCATTCCAAAATATGCACACCACGGACCGCGATAAATCCGGACATGACCACACAACCTGCACCAACCTGCACCAACCCACAAGGCACTTCTCCGACGAACAACGACCCATTTAACCACAAAACCTCGACCCGGCACTGCCACACCACAGTGCCGACTACAACGTGAACACGAACCACCAAAAGACCCCGGGCACCCGATCGTGTGCCACAAATACAATCAAACATCTGGGCTTCTTTGTCGTGCATCCATCATCTTTCTTTTCCCCTGGCGCCATCGCCACCTGTGACCGTGTGTTGATCACGCGGCCTTTCCCCATCCAATACTGTCGACCTTACCGGTTGCCACATGGGTTGTTGTGACCATGCACGGGGGATGACATGGCACGGTTTCACCTAGTTTTCGTACTTTGTGTATGTCGTGTGTGGGACTGACTACCGGTGTGTTGGGGTCGATTGTTCTGTCTGCTGGTTTCCTCATTCTCCCTGGATCTGTCGGTGCTGTCGTATGTTACTGTTGTGGCATCATCACCAAGGGGGGGTGCGTCCTACCAATCACCAAATATCGTTATAAACCCGTACTTCCCCTGACACGCCACTGCACCACCACATGAGGCATAATGAGAATGTGAAACAGTAGATAAAAGGGTGAGTATGTAGTGCAGGTGAGTCCGCCTGAAAACACCGGTTCGGGGGGAACTATTGGGGAACCCTTGGGTGTGGTTTCTGGCTGCTTTATTACCTCTGGAGGGGGACAGGGGACGCCAAGATTGGTGTCCGAGTGTGCGCCACTGATGTTATCTCGACACCATGCCCGCCACAGTCAATCATACAGTCATCGAAGTCCGCAGCTACTGTTCAACAGGCCGACTACTGGAGCCTCCGCGTGCGACCAAGACAAAACGACGTTGCCGAGACAATCTGAACTCACGATCCCCACCACTTGAAAAACAAAAACGGTACACCCATCGACACTAAACGGACTGTAACACAGGTCTATATTTATTTATTTATTTATTTTTGGTTTTTGGTTCGGCCGGGACGTACGCAACCATGAACCCCTATGCTTCACCGAGTCAACCACCGCCGGACGACCCCAATGATGTTACAAGTGGTTCGAATGTATACACACGGAGACGTCACATGATCAAACCGTCGACAATCACAAAGACGACGATATAGCGAAACCGAGAGTGAACCGCCCCCTGATGTCATGAATGATTTTTCCGTGCCGGTGGACCACTATGTATGATCTTATGAGCGATCGCCCCGTGGCAGAGGACTACCCGCACGCCGACAGTAGCGCTAACCCCCCTTGCTCCCAACGCCAACCTCTCCTCCACGTTGCCATTTTTTGCGTTGAACTACTTTTTTCCTTGTGTTCCCGTGTTCCCGGGTGCCAAGGATTGTTTTTGCCTGCACCTCTTCATGATGGTTGTTGGGAAGCCACCCGTCTCTCTTCACCTGAACTGGGTTTTATGCGGTCGCCACGAACCTACTGGTCGTCTAGTAGTAACCTCGAAACTGCTGGAAGCAACGTGGTTAGTCCTAATCCCTTTGGGTTGAAAAATTAAAAATTTCCGGGTGAGTACCAAACTTCGATGTCGGCACCATTGACGACGGAAATGGACGGCTGGACCCTTCTCGTCATGAAAAATGATATGCAATCGGCACCACCGCAGGTGTGAGGTGGAGCACGGAAGGACATAAACAATCGTTGAAAAAAATCGGTGTTTACTCCCTCCCGTATGACCCTCGATGGTTGTTAAGTACGAATAATACTACACTGAAGAGTGCAGTCTTTACACGCACTGAAAAGCGCAGTACACGCCTCCCCACGAAAAATGAGGGGACTGCCGCCACAATAAAATAAATAATTGCAAAACGAAAATCTACACACTCCTGCTGTCCATCCCGCCACGCTGGATACCCCACCCTTCCGCATGTCCGGTTATGGAACATGCTTCTTGTTTCTATTGTTAATTTTTATTCTTCCCACTCTGTCTGTTTGTTTTACAGACCTGCTTCTTGCGAATTGATTCCGCTAACCTACCTGCGACCTACGCTGATCCATAACATATTTTCCCGGAGACACCAACGAACGTCTCATTTCCATTCAACTTCTACACGAGCGGGAGTCACCACATATGCATATGTCACGATTGCAAGCACATCTCATTCCACGGAGACGACACACCTGACATGCACTACAACGGAGAGCATCCACAATGGCGGCGATCGGCCTTGGCATCCGAAACCCATGGATGATATTATTGAATGGTTGTTTGTCTGGTGTTTCCGTTCAAAGGGAATGGAAAATGGTTGCTGCGTTGACTGTCTTGTTATTTCGGCTGGTAATTCTCTCCACTCGGTTCTACGGTCTTCCTGGAACTCCGGCAGCACCGTGTGGCCACGGACCATCCTCCGGCCCCCACGGATAACCGTTGTGCGGCCTACTCTGCGTGAAATGCCCCACGGGTGTGCAATGCCTTACGATCGCCTTAACCACCACCCACCAACCACGCTACCCTACCGGCACCGTGGACGGTGAGTATACGAACCAGTGGATGAAAGGGTGAGTATGTAGACCAAGGTGAGCGTCTGGACTCCAGGGGAAGAACGGGAGGCGCCTCCAACGAGTGCCTCGTGCTTTGCTTTCAGGTTGTTTCGAGTTACTAGTAGGGGGCGGGATAGATGGATCGTACGATGCTTCTTGGTGAACCCCACACCACCAATGCCAAAGCCATCAAGCCAACCAGCCTCCACCACTAGCCATATCAATCCCTAAATCTCAACCTTGACCACCTCTCACCAGAACAGAACAGAACAGAACAGAACACCAGAACAATCCATCTTGTGTCACACACCAAACTGTTGTAACAACCTCACGAAGGCAAAAAAAACCGCGCCATCATCCCACCTTGTGACGGACCACCACTCCAAGAAAGTGTCACTGAATGTGAAATTCTCGGGTCGGATACCGAGTCCATCCCTGAACCTCATCCTCGATCGTCTCAAACCATGACAACTCATAACATGAAACCTGTGGCCTGTGCCGTTCATCGAACCACCATCTCGCAGAGGCAAGCGTCGTCACCAGGCCACCTTGTGTTCAGCCACCAGCATGCCTTATGAACCGACACGCTTCCACATCCACCCGAAGTGCCACCATCCACCAACCGTCGTCACACCCTAAAAACATGCTACGGACTTCCAATGACTGACCCCCTCCACTCTGAGTCGTGGTTGGCCTGCTCAGCCTGGTTCCCGGTCGGCAAGTCGCTGTACATGGCGGTTTCTGTTGCTTTTCTGTAGGAGTGCCGCGTGCGTTTTGGGGCTATTGTTCTCTGTCTCGGTTTCACCCGCTTACCAGCCTGGTCCACCGCCCCGGGGGGCGCAGAATGACTTCTTCGTGCCGGTGAACCTATTCTGATCTCATCAATGATTGCTCCGTGTTAGAGGACTACTCACACGCTCACACCGCGTCGGTGGCCACTAACGCTAACGCTAACCCCCACCCGTTTGAGATTGACCCTAAGGCCTCGACTGGCTACATCGAAGTTGTTTTAAATGACCCTCAACTAGATGCGCGGGGCCACCGTCATGCGACCAAATGGCGAGGTACCCTACCGCGTTGTCCTGCTGGCACCCTTGATGGCATGGGGCGACATCGACCACTTTGCCACGACTCGTCGACATCATGTGTCAGCAATGTCGTGGAGCAGCACCTGCAACCTAACATCAATCCTGGGGGCCGCCCAACCTGCCCAAGGATAGAGCGGGGACCGCCCCAGATTCCCCCTCCGCACGGCGGAGCGCCCCACGCCCCTCCGCCGCCACTGCTGCCGCCGCAGGTAGCGGGACACCTCCCTCCACAGGGCAGAGGCTGGAGGTGCGCTACCCGCCCACGGGAGAG